CGGCCGCTCTCGTCTCTGTTTGCGTCACCTCTGGGACATCGGTGCTCTCCTCTTCTGGAGAGTTTGTGGCTGAGGGCAAAGCCATCGCCGGGGGAACGTGTCCCACTCACTCAGGGAAGAGAGCCGATACCACCGCCTCTAGCAACTGGGGTTGCATGCTTTGTGTTAGTGGAGGCGCCCAGGGATGCAACTTGCCCCGTACCCAACGGTAGGGGCGCCTCCACGGATCCCGATCTAGGGACCCCAGCAGCTCCTCTCTGGCACAAGACTTTGAGTCGCCGATGGCCAGCCACAGAGTCTCCTTAGACGCGCGGTACCTACCTCATACAGCGCGTCCTCCTCGGCGGAATCCCGTCGATGCCGCCTCCGGTATCAGGTGTACCGGCGACGAGCCGCAACGCACGCTATGCGCAATTGCGCGATCTCGGCGGTCCACCAGTACACTTGGCGCCTTGCGGACCGTTGGCGGACACGGGGCATGGACGCGTCGCAGATCTGCGTCATCGCCCCGCGAAACCATAGCGCCACCGCTTCGACGTCGACGGGGCCGTCCGTCGTCGACTCCCAGATCCAGGACTGGACTAAGGCAGCTTCCTCGAGTAGTTCCCTATCGATGCGCTTAAGCGCCCAACGCGGGCCGTCGTTAATCGGGGTTGTTGGATGGCGGCCGCTCGCAGTCTGGGCAGAGACGTCGAACCGGATATACCGATGATCCGACAGCGTCACCACCTCTGCGGCGACACGCCAGTCGCGGACTTGGCTGGCGACAGAGGGGCTAGCAAACGAGACGTCCACTATCGACCCACCCCGCTGCCGCATGCACGTGTATTCAGGACGACCAGACCAGTCGTCACCGTCCACTCTTCTAGCACCTCACCCCGAGGGTCAGTGACCGGAGATCCCCACGCCGATGACTTGGCGTTGAGATCCCTGAGCACCAGAACGGGACGAGGGTGATAGCGGCCTACGACGGCACCCAACTTGACCAAGGAAACCCTTAAAGTCGGCGAGACTCTTGTTAGGGGATAAATACGCCCCTACAATAACGATACCGCCCGAGACCGCAGCAACCCAGCCACGGCCCCGAGACGGTATCGATCAGAGTCTCGCCAATAATGGCCACCAAACAGTCAGCGCATCCCAGGCAGCTGTCACGGGCGAGAATGAAGTACGGTTCGGCGACCACAGCTACGTGAATCGACCACTCTGCCATGCTCTGGAGTAGGAGATCCTGAGCTCTGGCACAGTGGTTGATGTTGCCCTGGAGAAAATGGAGAGAATGGAATTGTGCCATTATTGACATTCCATCCCCTCGGCAACGGTCCTGGGCCGGGAGTCTGCCGCGGAGCTGCTAGCCTGCGGGGGCAGCGAGGTTAACTTTAACCGCTGCCTCAACCCCCGCAGCTCCCGCTGCCGTCTCTGTCCCCGCAGCCCCCGCCGCAGCTTTGGCCCCGCTAATATGGCCAACCAAGCCAGCATCCTGCTGCGCCCCCACCCTCACTAAAAGTTATATATATCTGGCCTGACCTACTATATATATTTATAGTAGGTCAGGCCTGATATACTATATACTCTTTGGCGTGACAATAGATCTAACTAATTTGGTGGTTATTATAAATGGCTCAAGTGGTTAGGTTAAATTAATTAATTTAGAGATATATATATATATATATAATGACAAAGCATACTGCTCTCCCAAAATCTCACGGTCATATTAAGCCTAAGGATTTATTGCTTGTATCCTTTAACATTCGTGGGTTCGACAATCGCGAAGCCGACCTACTCCTCCTCCTCCAGGAAACGAAACTCAAAACTAAGGACATTAAAGGCCTTTCCATTCAAAAGTTTTCTCTTCTTCGTAATGACAGACCTGACCGCAAAGGCGGCGGTACTGCCATTTACTACAAGAAGACACTTCCTTGCTCTCACATTCCTACTCCGCAGCTTACCAACATGGAAGCCACGGTATGCAGGCTAGCCATTGATGTCCAGTCAAGGCTAGCCATGACTGGACATCAGTCCATCGTCATAGCCTCCTGTTACATCCCCAGTGGAACCCTCCCCCTCAAAAAAGATTTTGAGGCTATCTTATCTTTGGGCAACTCAGTCATTATGTTTGGAGATATTAACTCCAAGCATACTGAATGGACCTGCCGTACTACTTCTCAGAGTGGCAAGAAACTGCTTGATATCACGCAGTCTCTTCACCTTACCGTCCACAGTCCCCTCGGTGTCACTCACTATCCCAACTACACCGACCATGCTCCCGACGTGCGTAACTTTGCGTTAGTCAAAGGAGTTTCAATTTCAAGAGAGTCAATCGTCTTGAACGAGAAGTCCGTTTCCGCCTCTCCGAACTTCGAGACCTCGAAAAGAGTAAGCTCATGGAGAATATATCTCCACCCACACTCCCCCTCTCTCCCGTCCCGACGGTACGGTTGCCTTCGAGGGCGAGGAAAAGGCTGAGTCGTTTGCAGACAGCATTGCCGCACAATGCTCTCCTAGCTCACAACCCATCGAGCCCTCCCACACTCAGACAGCGAAGGATGAGGTCCACCGCCGGAACTCACCCCCCACAGCCTCGGACCCTATCACTGAAGACTCATCAAAAGACTGAAGCCCAAAAAGCCTCCGGGCGCGGATGGCATATATAACCAAGCCCTTAAACATTTTCCTGAGCAGGTGTTAACCCTTTTAGCTATTATCTTCAACGCCTGCTTCAATCTTAGTTATTTTCCCACTACGTGGAAAGAGGCAACTGTCATTGGTATCCCCAAGCCAGGAAAGCCTCTCAACCTCCCCTCCAGTCGTCGTCCCATCAGCCTCCTCAAGGCCATGGGCAAACTCTCCGAAAAAGTCATCCTTACTCGCATGAGGCTCCATCTGTTTCCCACAGACGGTGACCCTCTTGTCATCTCCCACCAATTTGGTTTCCGAGCGAAACATTCTTGTCCCCAACAAGTTCACCGTATTGTGGAATATATCCTCAGCGGTTTCTATCCTCGTCGTCATAAAACCATCGCGGTCTTTTTCGACATTGCAAAAGCTTTTGATAGAGTCTGGCACGAAGGTCTTATGTATAAACTATATAAAATAGGTCTCCCTGATCGTCTTGTTCGTCTCGTGGCCTCTTACCTGAAGGATCATACCTTTCGTTTTAGACACGAATGCACGCTCTCCTCTCAGCGCCCCATCAAAGCCGGTGTCCCTTAGGGCTCAGTGCTTGCTCCTCTCCTGTATATCCTGTTCACCAACGACATTCCCATCCCGTCGAAAGCTGTTCAGCTCTCCCTCTTCGCAGACAACACTGCTCTCTTCTGTAAAGATATCTCACTACCTTTCATACGGAACTAGATCCAAAAGTCAGTTGATGACTTAGGAGCTTGGTTTCAAAAATGGCGCATCGATGTGAACCCGGAGAAGAGCTCCGCCATTCACTTCGATCATAAACGACGCCGCCTCAATAACATTCCACCAATTCGTATGCTAGGGACCCCTGTCCCCTGGCATACGACTGCCAAGTATTTAGGTGTCACCCATGACATGAGGCTCATCTTCGGCGGGCACCATGTCAAAAAAGTAACCAGCAACGCACGTTTTTATCTGAGTAGGCTCAACAGTGTGTTGGGCCGACACAGTAAAATGTCCCTGCGCAACAAGCGAACCCTTTATAAGGTCTGTATACGACCAGTCATGACTTACGCGGGCCCTATATTTGCCCACGCTAATCCCGAAACCATTAACGAACTTCAAATAGTTCAAAATCTCATCTGTCGTCGAGTTACGAACGCACCCTGGTACGTCCGTAACGCCGACCTCCATCGAGACTTAGAGCTCCCCACAGTCCAGCAATTTCTGAAAACACTCTCTGAGAACTTTTTCAAAGCCTCAGAGTCTCAATCTAATCACTTTATTCGTGAGGCAGCGTCCTATGCGACCCCACTCCCCTCTCGCTATCGAGTCCGAAGACCAAGAAACTCTCTCTCGGACCCGCCAAACAAGTTTTTGGCCGACCTGAACTGCCTCCTGGCGGCTCAGGCCGACTCTTCTTAATTTGCCTTAGTTAGGCTCCACCTCAGCGGCTCTTCGCCGCCTGCGCCCCCTTTTCCCAAAAGACGGTCGCTTCCGATTCGGCAGATAGGCCTCATAATCAAATGCCAGTCTCACAGGTGGTGTTTAGTGGGTAGACACTTAAGTTAGGTTAGGTTAGTCGCAGTGAATCCCACATAATCACGACAGCCGGCTGTCGTGGTATGCTAAAAGCATTCACCACCTCACTCTCGTTTCCGCGGGTAGCCCTTTTCAATTGCTTTTGGGCGCAAAAAAAAAATAAAACTCAGTCGGAGTGTGAATGAAAGGGCTGTAGTTCACGCGCATTGAAATAAATAGACGAATAATATTTCGTGATTTTATAAATCAATAAATTTGTAATTTTTTTTAACAATTAGACTTAAGTTTAGAGATTGTGTACTATAAAATAAGACATTATAGATTTTCACATGCTATAAATTTTCAAATGCATCAGGTGATAAACCCTATCAGAATAGGTATAAATTTTCGACGTTGTTAGGAACCTTCACCTCTGGTCCAAACGTAGTGATTATATTCTCTTTGCTCTGGTCTTTCGTCTTTACTCTATGCTGACAGCCCGAAAATGTGTAACCAATTTTGATTTGTCATTGTGTGCGTTAGCTAGTGATGTGCATTTTACTTACATAATATATACATACAATTATTACATATAAATATTGTTTAGGAAGCGATAAAAATATTTAAAAAATGGTTTAGTGCACGAAACTGAATAACTTCAAAAAGGAGAATGCCAGATTCTCTATAGAACTTGGCTCTTTGGCCTAAGCTCCTCGCACTGTGATTGGTTATTAAGAAATATCGTTTTTATAGAAGGAAAGAATTCATTCGAAATAGTACCAACAAGTGCATGGAGAAAAGGCGATATCCAAGCGTAGTTGACTTCAAAAAATTTAAATTTTGAATAAAAAATGCTAAAAGTTAATTTATTGGAAATTGTGGATCAGGAGAAATACAAATACCAACAGTGTATTGTAGACGAGATGGCCGCAGCACAAGGCATTACTGTGCTTAGACTGTCCCCATATCATTGTGATCTCAACCCTATCGAATTGGTGTGGGCTCAAGCGAAGGGGCATGTCGCAAGACACAACAGAAGTTTTAAAATGGAGGAAGTTAAAAAACTATTACTGGAAAGTATAAGTAATGTTACTCCTGATAAAAGGGCATGAATGTATCAGCCATACAATCAAAGAAGAAGATAAGATGTACACTCTCGACGATTTGATTGACACAGTCGCAAACTCTTTAATAATTCATGTCAGCGAGAACGATGATGATGAAGATAGTGATATAAGTATTAATGATGATTAAAGATTTTAATAAAAATATGTTATCTTTACTTGTGCGTTTTTTACTGTTTGTGATGAAAAGGGACGTAATTATTACTTGCCGTAAAACCACTTTTAATGTGGAGCACCGCACTTAATAAAATGGATACTGTTCACGCCCTGAGTTGCCCCGACAAAGGTTGACTGGACTAGGGCCAACGAGTAATCCCATCGACGGGCAACAGATGACGGGGCCCAACGGCCTATGGATAAATGTTCAAAAAACGGCTGACAAATAAGCAAGCACTTACCTTTTTCAGGAGGTAGGGTTGACCACAGGGTATCAGTCAGGTGATAAGTGAGGTGTATGTAAGTAAGTGTGTAGTAGTGTGTACATGTGTGACCTGACTTAACCGAGGTGATCGGGCAGCGGCCTGGTCCGATGCTGCCCCACGATATGGTATCACTCCAGCGGACGTCACCAATTGAAAACTGCTGACTTCTTTCACTATTTCAGTTTATCAACTTTATTGTACACTATTTCAATCCATCAACTTTATTGTACATTTAATTAACTTCAAACTCAACTAAATCCCCGTTAATCGTAATCAAACATGTAACACACGACACAACTAATGAACGGTGGATCAAAGTTCACTTCCGTTTTCACTTAGCAACAAATTATTTCTCGAAACCGAACGCGACCTTCTCTCGGGTCACAAAGTTCCGCGTTCCCCACAACAAACTAAGATTCTTTCGTACGATATTAACAGGCCACTCAAGCAAATTAAATATTGCAAATGCGCTTCAAAATGCAATCACTATACAAATTGACGTAAATTACTTGCAAACAAAGGTAAGTTAATTTAATCACTCAACACTTACACGGCCTCGTTATCGCGTACACGCACGGACGTTGATCGCAAAACAATATTAACTTCCAAAACAATTAATCGACCCGGCGTCCGCGCAGACAATCTATTTTTCTAGACTCAACAAAACTCCTCGTCGTTGCATAAATTTGCTAACAAAAACCGACACTATTTAGAGGTTATACGGTACGCGACCACGCTGTCCTAGTGATTGCACTGCATTAATAACTTCCGACGCGCCACAATTACTCAAACTCTAGACCATCAAAACCAAAACTGGCCGCGCTCCACCGATCCAGCGGTCGCAAACAATTCAACTAGTCGACAGAGCCGCTGCGGTCAAGCTATTGTCGCTAGCCCACGAGGCCGAACGCCGGGAAGCGGCATACCGCCCCCCCCCCCCTGGTGGCGTTCACGTCACCTCACACCATCAGGCGATGCACTGAGTCAAACGCTATTGGATGTAGTTTCAAATGCCCATGTTTGGGCCTAATCAGATACATTAACTAACAAATAAAATGTATGTATAAACTCAGATGTTCAGACTCGTATTGAAATTGAAAAATATGCCCGGCCAAAAAGGTTTGTAATCTCTGACATGTCAAAAAAATTATAGCTGTCATAATACTACGGAATGCAAATTCAGACTATAGCCAATGTGTGAAAATATTCGACATTAATTTGACATACGTACTTACGATATTGACACAATGACGTGTGTATCATATCACAAAATGCACGAGAATCCGTGATTGTTATTCAGTAATTATCTAATGTAATTCATGATTAATCGACTTAGAATAATTTCTGAAAATGAAAATTGATAAATAACTTTTTTATATGACAAAGACTTATAACATTTTAATAGAAATATGTATTGTTTGATACTTTATGCGTACGTATGTACTTACTCGTACAAAGAAACGCAGATGTTATAAGAAAAGAATGTAAATGTAAATATTAATCGTTGAATTCCTTTTATTTTTATAATAATTTAACGCAAGTTGTACAAAATAACGATTTATAACAAAAAACTTCAAAACTCATAAGATTATTTTCCATATTTTTACCTTTTTTGTACAAGGTGGGGCACCATCTGGCATTCTCTTATACTGAATTATTACCTTGATAGTTCTAAAATAATTATAGAATATACAAATAACATGTTCCCGGGAATAAGCTGCACCTACCTGCCTTTTGCAAGATTTTAATCCAAAATGTACAAAGTCTCAATAATCTCTGAAGAGTCTCTGCGAGTCTAGCGATAAATTTGATTCCCCCAAGAATCAGATCGGAAAGTTGTATTTTCGAGCTATGACCTTTGGAGAAAACTTTATTGCCATGGACGATTTCCCCGGAATTTCTTTTCTAACATAACGTTAATCAACTATAAATAGGTAGATACTTAATTAAGAATATACCTATGTATACTTTATATATTTTATAAAATGTTTTGCTATTGAAATAAAAAACGGAACACGCAGTACGTAATGGCTGCTTTATTTTTCATATAACTATTACTTTTAATAATTACAAACATTTAATAATTAATAATTATAAAATAATACATTATAGAAATTAATTTTAACATTCAACTTAAATATAAATTTAAACTTAATAATTTATGTAAGGAAACTTATAGGAATCAGTTAAATAAGATTGCTCTGTTTAAAGGATTGCTCTATTTAAATATATATGAGGCTAGTCCCTCTTTCATCTGTCCCTGAAAAATAATAAACTTATTATTTTGGCTGCATGAATTTAAAAACATAATGATCTTACACTGATTAGCCAAATACGCAGGAGATATTTAAGTGTAGCAGGTGTCTGAGGATACAGATGCACTGTTTATTTTCTTAATCTCAGTATGTTACGAAAACGGTGACCAATCCATGACTGACTGACTGACATGACTGACTGGCTGACACGACTTACTGGCTGACGTGACTGACTGACTGACCATCACTGACTTTTTTATAGGAGAGGGCGCATACGAGCATATGGCTCACCTGATGGTAAATGACTACCGCCAACCATGAACAATGACTGTGACAAGTGCAGCTTAATCTCGCAGATCTATTGATCCGCGCAGATGCTAATTAACCACGAGTTCCTCTTCTCTACGACTAATGCTGTAGGTGATGAACCATCATATCAAGCCCTCGGCACACTGTTGTTGCGCTTGGGCATCAATCATAAATTGGACATCGGGCGTTGTGAGTATCAAATACTATGGAATTTACACTATCCTGGCACACTGAACCACGCGTCTCATGCGCGGGCGTCTAGCGGCGCTTCAGGAGCATTACTAAATATCTATACATAACTACACTAAAAGTTTCATTATCATTGTGACTCGGAAATATAATCCGAAGCTCCGCTCAACCCCCTGGGAAAAATGGCGTGATACTATAAATATTGTGCTAGTGTGAACGTGAGGTGCGGGTGGTTAAGTAAGATTATACATTATTTTAGTTGATAAATAGATACTCAGTTGGGTTCATAATTGCTTAAATATTATAATCTCAAGACTTTTTATTTTTAATATACTACAGTTTTATAATGTATAGGAATTTATCTCTATTTTTATCTAAAGTTTTTGGAGATAAATTTTTAAAGTCTTAATATAATTATATTATACTTACTGGTACAAATAATGTAGGAATGGCTCCTTTTAATAAAATTGTTTTTATTCTGCTTTTTCTTTTATATTCCTCAAGAAAATGTTTGCTGCAAATTGTAGAGTTCTTCTTTGGATTCCATCTGCATCAACCTGCCCAATTAACCTTATCCATTTTTTAATTCTATTCATCTGTTTGACAAACGGCAGAATTAAATTACGTTTTTAGAACGCAAATTGAGCATTTATTTTCATTCCTTTCCTTGTTGCGTGGGTTATGTCTATCGATTCAATATAAATATTAAAGATAAATATCAACACTAATTTTGATATAGTTGAGTCAATCCCTAGCGTACATGTAAAATATTTTGTTTAAAAATGAATTTACCAAAATCATAAAAATTATCTACAACGTGAATTTTTTCTTTGCAAAATATAAAAAATTAATAAAATAATTGAAAATATTCTATATTTTAAATAGTATATAACATAAATTTTTACCGAAAATAGACGCGTCGTAGCAGTAACACGATTAGTTATACTTAGTCAGGTCATAAATTCTGTCAAAAACTTTTTATAAATTTAATGATACACTTTTCGATAATTATAGAGAAATTATATATGAAATGAAAGGTAATTTAATTTAGAATACAATTTTCCCTCTCCTCTATTTTGAATCTTCTTCTTCTTCTTCTACCTAGCGTTTATCCCGGTTGCTCATCCCGCCCAGCGTGGGAGAACCCAGGGTCCGCTTTCCAACACTTCCTCCTCCACTTTGCCCGGTCTTCGGCGTCCCTCACAACTAGCCCATTGGCGCGCATGTCATCCTGCACGACATCAAGCCAGCGTTTCTTGGGCCGTCCTCTACTCCTGGTACCAGGTAAGGTCATGTCCAGGCATTTGTTTCCCACGTAGCTTGCTGGTCGTCGTAAGACGTGGCCGTACCAGCGGAGGCGACTTTCCTGCAGCTTGTCAGCAATGTCACGGACATGGAGGCTGCCGCGGATGTATGTATTCCGTACACGGTCTTTCCGCGTGACGTCACACATCCACCGCAGCATGTTCATCTCCGTGACATGCAACAACTGCCGGTGTCGCTCCAGCACCGGCCACGCCTCACTGCCGTACGTAAGGACAGGCCTTATGATGGTCTTATAGACCTGTCCCTTCAGCTTGACCGGCATTTTGGGGTCACAAATGACACCCGTCACCTCGCGCCATTTCGCCCAAGCCGCTGATATACGGGCCTTGATATCGCGATCGATGTCACCGGACGCATCAAGCACAGATCCGAGGTATCTGAAGTTGTCCGTGCGCTCGACGGTGTCGTCGCCTATACGGAGAGACTTCAAATCTGTGCTGTTGCAGGTCATATACTCCGTCTTCGCCACGTTTAGCTTCAGCCCGCC